ACTACTCTCTCTCTCTCTCTCTCTCTCTCTCTCTCTCTCTCTCTCTCTCTCTCTCTCTCTCTCTCTCTCTCTCTCTCTCTCTCTCTCTGTTGACTGTCATTCGCGCTTAATCGCGCTCCATCGGCGTTATCGATCGTTGAAACGGGTCAGGTACATTAGTTACAGAGGCAACGGGACTCCCGTGTCCACGTATTATTTACTTTCCCCCACCAAAACGTGTCATTATCCACGTAACCAACGTCTCTCTCCGATTTCGGTCTCCGTGCCAATTTTTTTTCTCAACTAACTTCGCCGCTCCCGACATAACGACTTAACGGCTCGAAAATTTTCCACGAAGGATTGGGAATAACAGAAATCGAGAATTCGGGACGGAACAAATTTTCTGGCGCGTAAAAAACGTTGTTTTTGAACAATTTTTTTTCCACTTCTCGCTTCTTTTTTTTCGTCGAATCGCGGAACGATCTTCCAAGTGATAGGATAGGTGGCCTATCCTACGAGTAGAAGAAATTACAGATGCGAGTGACAGCTGGGTGGAAAGGTGTCGTTCGCAGGGAATAAAGAAAAGGAGGGGGGGGGAGGGACAAGTGACGTCACGTCCCCTCGTGGTACCCACATCATCTGTCGCCCGTGCGCGTTGCGGAACCGTGTGGTTCGGGACGAGGAGAAAGTAAAGAGAAAGAGAAATATCGAAGAGGAGAGATGCTCGATAGATCGTTTCGAGGATAGTTCGCCCTCTCGGCGAGAATCACTTCCTTGCCTCCTCATCCTTGCCTCGCCCTTCCTCCTCCGCATTCCTCGTCCTCCCTCGTCCCGTATTCCGGAATCGAAGGTGTGCGCATCTCTCTCTCTCTCTCTCTCTCTCTCTCTCTCTCTCTCTTTGCTCCCTCGTGACCTCGATTTCCAACGGCTCCTCTGATAACGCCACCCCCTCCCCCTCTTCCTGGCCGCTCGCTGCCAGCTGCTCCCGTTTCGAGTCCATTCGATTCAGAGGTGTTGCGAGAGGGTGTCTCGTGTCTCGC